GAGAGACAGAGAGGAAGATCTTCCATCCGATGATTCACTCCCCAAGTGAGCTCCACGGCCGATGCTATGCCGATCCGAAGCCAGGAGCCTCTTCCGGGTCTCCCACGTGGGTGCAGGGTCCCAAAGCTTTGGGCTGTCCTCGACTGCCTTCCCGGGCCACAGGCAGGGAGCTGGAAGGGAAGCGGGGCTGCCGAGATAGAACCGGCACCCATATGGATCCCGGCGTGCAAGGTGAGGACCTTAACCACTGCGCCACCGCGCTGGGCCCCTGAGTGAAGGTTTAACCACCAGGCCAAGTGCTTGCACCCCAGATCTAGTCTGAGGGTTCAGAATGAGTCTTTTTCATGAAGCATAGAAACTTAAATTAGTACAGTAAGTTAAAAAAAAAAAACAACCAAACTTTTCATTTGAGACAGAGAAAGAAAGAGAGAACAGTTTTCATCTGTTGGTTCACTTTTCAAATGCCCATAGCAACTGGATTGGACCAAGTCGAAGATGAGAGCTGGGAACTCATCTTCCACCTGAGTGTTAGGAGCCTATTACTTGAAGCCGTAGGGTCCCCATTAGCAGGAAGCTAGAGTTAGGAGCTAGAACTGTGGCTGGAACTCGGATGTTTTGATGTGGGGCACAGGCATCTGGACTGGATCTTAACTTGCAGGCCACGTGCCATTCCCATTAATAATTTAAGTTTTCAAGTCATGTTATAGTCTTCAAGTATGTTTTTCTTCTATTATTTCATTTATGATAGCTCTTTAACTAACATGGACAGTTGTGAAAAGCAAAGGAAAGCAGCGAAGATGAAAGAAAAGCTGAACTACAAGTAAACTTCAGTTTTTATCAGTAAAAATTTTTGTAAGGGACCAGTCCAGTGGGTTAAGCTACTGCCTGTGACTCTGGCATCACATATGGGTACTAGTTCAAGTACCAGCTGTTCCACTTTTAATCCAGTTTCCTGCTAGTGTACCTGGGAAAGCAGTGGAAGGTGGTCTGAGTGCTTGGCCTCTGCAGCCATGTGGGAAACCCAGGTGGGATTCCGGGATCCTAACTTTGGCCTGGCCTGACTTTGGCCATTGTAGTCTTTGGGGAGTAAATCAACAGAGTGCGAGTGAGATCTTCCATCTGCTAATTCACTCCCCAAATGGGCCAACTTCAGGGCTGGGCCAGGATGAAGCCAGGAGCCTGGAACTCCATCCAGGTCTCCAACGTGGACAGCAGAGATCTGAGCATTTGAAACATCCTCTGCTTCGTCCCGTGTGCAATAGCAGGGAATGGTAATTGTGTCAGAAGCACAGCAGCCAAGACTCAAATCAGAACTCTTGATGGGGGAGGTTGGCATTGAAAGTAGCAGCTTAACCATAGTGCCCACCTCTGGTAAAACTTCTGTGTACACGCTTTGAATATGCAGACTTTGATAAGTAGTGCCTTTGTGGGTTTGAGGAAGATGACTGGAGGGAAGAAAAAATTCTCTTGAGGAATACATAGCATAGTAGTTTGAGGACAAAGATGTTTAAGTTCCTGTATTTAAATGTTTATATAGTTTACTATCCTGAGGTTTTTGTGATTCCATAAAGATTGTATTTCTAAGAATGTGAATTCCTTCGAGTTCAATAAAAGGATAGTGTTTGGAGTTGGGGAGTCAACAGGAAAGGAACATTGATGTCATCAGTGTAATGACGGTACGAACTGTCACATTTCCCAAGAGTGTGCAGCCTGCCAGACACAGTGGTCATTGCTTTATAGTCATTAATTTGTTAATCCCTTAAATCAGAGCTGTTCCTGAATCAGTGCCCTTGAGAAGTGTCAAACTTTAATCTGAAAATAGGTCGTATTGCATAATGTTTAGAAATACTATTGACTTTGGAGCTGCCGTTACAGTGCAGTGGGTAAAGCTGCTGCCTGTGGTGTCAGCATCCCAGGTGAGCACTTGTTCAAGTTCTGTCTACTCCACTTTCAATCCAGCTTCCTGCTAATGTCCCTGGGAAAGCAGCAGGAGACAGCCAAAGGCTCGGGACTTCCGCACCCACGTGGGAGACCCACATGGAATCCTAGACTCCTGACTTTGGTTTGGCCCAGCTCTCGCTGTTGCAGCCATTTGGAGGAGTGAACCAGCTGATGGAAGTTTCTCCCTCAGTCACTCTGCATTTCAAATAAATAAATACATCTTGAGGGGAAAAAAAATAACATTGACACTGAAACAGGAAAGAAGTTTGATAATCAACTGTATGTTAAAAATAATCATAGTCTTATTGTACCAATGTATATATAAGTATATATAAAAAGAAGTCTTAAAGATAACTTATTGTTTCTAAAGATTTATTTATCTTACCTGAAAAATAAAATTACAGGGAGAGGAAATGCAAAGAGGGATAGAGATCGTCCCACAAAGACCAGTGCTGGGCCAAACCAGGATCCAGGATCTAGGCGCTTCTCCATGCATCCTGTGTGGCCAGTAGGGTCTGAGAAGTTGAGCCATCTGCTGCTTTTCCAAAGCCATTAGCAGGGATCTTGACTGGAAGTGGAACAGCCGGTCCACAGGCAGGTATCCATGTGAGATGGCAACATGCAGGCGGTGGAAGGCAGCCCTTATATCATGCTTAATACATAGTTACACACATACACATGTTTATAAGAACAGGATCACAATAGGCATACTTTTTAAAAAACAAACACAATTTTGGGCCCGGCGCGGTGGCGCAAGTGGTTAAAGGTCCTCGCCTTGCACGCCCGGGATCCCATATGGGCGCCGGTTCTAATCCCGGCAGCCCCGCTTCCCTTCCAGCTCCCTGCTTGTGGCCCGGGAAAGCAGTCGAGGACAGCCCAAAGCTTTGGGACCCTGCACCCGCGTGGGAGACCCGGAAGAGGCTCCTGGCTTCGGATCGGCATAGTATCGGCCCGTTGCGCTCACTTGGGGAGTGAATCATCGGACGGAAGATCTTCCTCTCTGTCTCTCCTCTCTGTATATCCGCCTTTACAATGAAAAAATAATAAAAATAAATCTTTAAAAAAAAAAAAAACAAACACAATTTTTTAGAGGTTTTCATAGAAAAATGACAAAATTAGAATACACTCTTTCATGCAGTTGGCACTAATACGAGTTCCTTATCTTAATATACCACATTTATTCCCATCAGCAGGCTAATATTGCCACATTATTTCTGGTATTATTACTGTCATTTCCTCTTACTCCTGCCCCAGTGATGTGATCATGATCACATCAGTTTCTCAGATTCCCCTGGCAGTCTGGAGGAATATGTACTGCAGCTTTTGTACGATGTCCCTCACTTGGGACACTTGGATGTTGCTCTGTTTAGTGCGGGGGGCTGTGTGTTGTGGTAAAAGACCACCCGCCAGGGACACGTACCTGACCACTGCTGAGGTGGACTGGTCAGTTTCTGCGCTCTGCAGTTCTCTCCCCCTCCCGGCCTTCCCCATGCTGCGGTCTTTGGAAGGAAGTCACTATGCACTTGTCACACCTGTGATGTGGACATTTATCTTACCTGATTGAGCATGGAGTATCTACAAAAATTCTCATCCATTACCTTACCTCCCTTTTACTTACTTAATAATTTTTGACTCAGGATCATTTATCTTATGTCCTGGGTTATAATTCATATGTATGCACATCCATACATGCATTTTTATGTGTCTTCTTTGCCCATTAATAAGTTATGGGCAATTTTTAGTCAATCAACAGATATGAGTATCTTTTAGGAGTTATATAATATATACCTAATCTGTCCTCTGCTTTTAGGTATTTTTGCTTTCAATGTTTCCTCATTTCCAGCAATACTAAAATAACATCCTGGTACATTCACATTGGTGCACTTGTGTAACTATTCCTTAGTTCACCATTCTAAAGCCCCGGGGGTGGGGGGCACATCCTACTTTCCTGGGTGGGGTCTATTTTCTCAATCTGGATGCCCTGTCCCGGTCTTTGCGCACGGAAGTCCTATGTACTATTAAAGACGCAGCTAGCTCTTATCCGAGTGTGTTGAAGAGAATATGATGATTCTCTCCCAGCCCCAATGGGTGTCTTTTGCGTTGTGCCACCCCAGTTCTGCTTCCTCTCTTCCCCTGAGGGTGGAGAGTGGGCGGCGGTGTGAGAGCAGTCCCACCCAGCGGGGCCAGGTAGTCACTAACCAGCAGATTGCGGCTTCCAGGAAAGGATCGTAGTAAGTTAAGAAATCAGGAACCGTCCTGGATATTGCACAGCTGTCCTTCCTTTCTTCTATAGTCATTGGCACCACATGCTTCAGGCAAACAGCGGACGTAGATAAAAGGTTTCAGCTGTAGTTAAGTCAGACAGGCTAGTTGAAAAGCCATGTTTTCCTGCCCGCCCGTCAAAACGCGTGTGTGGGCCGACAGCTGTGGAAACTGCAGTCTGTCTTTCAAAATGAGCATCCCCCATGTGCCAAGTGTTCAGAGGTAACAGTTAAACGCGCTGGGAGGAGAACGGAACTCCAGTGCTTCAGCCGGGCCTCCGAGCCTTCCGATTTCCTTGTCAAGTAGGCAGGTGGCACAATGCTTGTCACATATTTTAATTAGTACCTGAGAAGCGGGTTTCTATCCTTCCCCCCCGCCCCCAATAACTACCGAGATACTGTTGTTTGGGCGATCAGGCGGCTGTGTGCCGGGGGGCAGCCGAGCCTGCCGACCCGGTGGCCCACCCAGCGGCGCCCAGGGCACCCCGAGCCCCGCGGGGAGGGCGGCCCGCCGCCGTGGCCGCCTGGGGCGCCTGGGGCCGCGCGCCACGGGGCGCCCCGCCCTCGCCCTCCGAGGCCCAATCACCTGGAGACTCCGGGGGCACGTCCCGCCGCCAGGCCACGCCCCCGGCCGGCGCGGGGGGCGCCTTTAAGAGGCGGCCGGGCGCCGCGGGCTCCGTCGGGCCGCGCGGGGCCGTGGACTGCCGGGCTTGAGTGGCAAGCGGCCGCAGGGCTTTGCGCGTCGCCTCCGCGCCCGCCGCCGTCCTCCCCGCGCCGCGCGCGCGCCGCTCCGCCGCCGGAGGGGGGCTCCACCGGCCTCACCGCGGCCGGCAGCTCGCACCTCCCGCACCTTCCCCGCCCCGCGCGCCTCAGGGGCCGCCGCGGGCCATGCCGTCCTCCCGGGACGAGCCCGACGGCGCCGCGCGGGACCCGAGCGAGGAGCAGCCGCCCGGCTCCGCGCCTCTAGGCGACGCTCTGCTCCCCGGCCCGGGACCCTCCGACGGCCTGGAGGCATGCGCCGAGAAGGTGGAGGTGAGGCTGGCGGGAGCGGCGGACGGCGAGCCTCCGGAGCCGCCCGAGGGAGGCTGGGGCTGGCTGGTGATGCTGGCGGCGATGTGGTGCAACGGGTCGGTGTTCGGCATCCAGAACGCGACCGGGGTACTCTTCGTGTCCATGCTCAAGACCTTCGAGTCCACGGACAAGAAGAGCTTCAAGACAGGTGAGGCGCAGCGGCCGGGTTTCCGCCCCCCAAGCCCCGGCGTACCTCCCGAGGCAGCGGCTGCGGCGGGCTCGGCCGAGGGTCCCGGACCACGGGGCGGAGGACGCGGAACTGAGGCGCTGCTGTCAGTGTCGGCCCTCCCTTCCACACACCCCCTGCCCCTGGCCTGTCACTTTGGTACTGTCTCCGGCGGTGAGCCTGCCTGCCCGTCCGCCTCCGGAGTGCAGATGGTGTGTGTGTGTGTGTGTGTTTTGGGGGGCGGGTGGAAGGTACGTGTGCCCAAGGTCACAGGGAAGCCCCGGGGGGCAGCCCTGCCACACCGCGGCTAACTGCCCTCTTGAGCTCTATGCTAAATTTAGAAAGCCCAGGACGCTGCCGGGTCGCCCCTGCCTGCCAGGAGGAAGGTGGAGGCTTCCCGGTCCTTGTTGTGTTCCTTCACTTTAAGGTGCAGACCCCGAGTTTGTCTCCTGTGGAGCGTTGTGCCCCGGGGACTAGCACTTTTCCATCAGTTGTTTCACATCACCCCCCTGTTTAGATGACAAAGCCCAGCTCCCTGCTTCCGAGGTGGAGATGGACAAACACCACGTCTGTGGTCTTCCAGGGCCAAGTGATTTCCCTGACCAAACGGGACTTCTTCCCTATCGTTTGCGGGGAACATTATATTGTTCATAGTCTTAATATTTTTTTTCTATTAGAGCGAATATTTTTAAAGTCTTTAGTGTGAATCCAAAGACTGAGCAGGACTATAATAAAATTTTAAGATTAGTAGTTGGTAATGTTGAAGGTCTTAAAATCTTTTATACAGTTGACATCATTCACAACTTGCTTTTTTTCTTTCCTGCATCATGTTTGGCACTTACCCACATACTACTTCAATTTGGGCTGGGAGCACAAATTCTTTCCACTTTAAACTGATGGTTTTCTGCGGTATGCGTATATTGTATTTTATTAATGCATTCTTCCTTTAATAGACATTTAGATTGCTTCCAGACTTATAAAAGAATGCTGCAGTGAATATTTTTGTACATTGTCTCCTTGTGCATGTGAATAAGGTACCATATTTAACTTGGAATTTCTGTTCCTTAAATAGCTGTTGAAGCTACTGTGTTATATGCAGGTCAGAGGACTAGTTCACAAAAGTGTTAAAAAAAAAACACTTTCTTAGTGGTTTCAGGTAAGCAGCTACTGTGCAGATTAGCAGGATAGATATGCATTTACAATAGTAAATAAGTGTAATTGTGTCTTTCCGAGAGGGAGAAAGAGGTAAAATTGACAGTTAATGTTTTAAGACTGTTTTCCTGTTACATCTAGCATGCTCTTGCCTGGGATTACAGCTTTTTAATGCTGTGAAAACAACTGCGGTCACTTATTTGCTGCTGTTTTTGCAAACTCCGAAGAGTAGATCCCATTGGTATTTGTGGGTTCCTCCTTCCTTCCCCTTTCCTGAGGGAGGGGAGAGGGTGCTGGAGAAGAGAGCATAGGTTTTGCCAGGGACTAGAATTTTACAGTGTTAAAACCTCTACCTGCTGCCTGTCCCCCACAGATGGCTGCAATATCCCAGGGCTGGTTAGTTAAAGGCGAGGCAAAGGAAAAGAACCTGTTTCTCAAACTTTTTGAAACTGTATTTTCAGTTGTGATGAATATCTGTCTTTATTTTCTCAGTTCAGCCTTTGACAAGTCTTTCAGTCATATTGGGGTGTGTGGGTGTGAATCGTGTAAGCAGTGTACAGGTGTGCGCTTTAAGTGTCTGAAGATCTTTGTGCCTGTCTGCCTGACTGCCATGTGTGGTTGTGCCCTTGCACAATAGTGCCCAACTTGGGCGAGTGGGGACTGAAAACCAGCCTGTGCTCTGGGTGTCCTTTGTCTGATTCCTACAAAGGGATCCTGTGCACTTGAAGTGGTCTTGTCATAACACAGCTGTCAGATTGAACAATGGCCATTACTCAGGCACTAACTAATACTCACGTAGCTGATAAATCTTAAGGGCTGAAGGGAACAAGTAACTTAACCTCAGTTGAGGGGAAAAAAAGTTAAATGGTAGTCTTGTAGTTATTGTCGAGCTCTCTCTCTATCCTCTGCATACACACACACAGGCACATATACATACAAGGCACATACACATACAGATGCATGTATACAGTACCCCCCCACAAGCACAGGCACACATACAGACACACACGCAAACACATATATCACACGAGGCACATATACAGGTGCGCACACACACTCGCAGACACATGCAGCTGCAGACATGTGTACACACATACACAGGCACACATATACACACAGGCACATATACACATGTGTTTGATTAGATTCGTCATCTACCACAGGCACTAAAGTTTTCGGGAATACTTGCTTTGAAGTTTGTTCAGGCCTTTTCATTTTGGTGTTCTAATGCTGAGTCATCTGTGATAAAACTTGCAAGCTTTAAGGCCAGTGGTGAGGGTGGGTGGGCGGGGAGGAATACCTGAAATTTATTCAAGGCTTGTTATGTTTTGAGCTTCAGTCATTTTCTTTCTCTCTCTCTCTCTCTTTCGAGTTTCAGTCTTTTTTCTGTTATCTTATCCATGATTGATAATTCTGGTGTTGGTTGTGATTATTTCTTTTCATTAGTTTGTTTATAGTTAGTGGTAAGTCCAGGATACACAGGGAGATGGGGGCTGAATTGGGATTTAGGTCAGAGTGATGGCATACATTTTTCAGTGCTTCCTGTGGTCGAGCACTACATACATGCCTGTATAAACCTTGCTGCAACCGTATGAGAAATAGCCTTATTCATTTCTTTTCAGAAGTGGAAACTCAGACTTCCAGAGTTTACATACACAGTGGAGCAAGAATTTAACTCCAGGTTTATCTGACTCCGGGAGCTGCGCCTGGGTCAAACCTAGGAGCTGGAAAGAAGTCCGAGTCTCTCACCTGGGTGGCAGGAATCAGTTACTCTAACCATCACCCCTGCCTCACAAGTCATGCATTAACGGGAAGCTGGAGTCATTAGCCAGAACTCAGAGTCCAGCCCAGACAGTCCAGTGAAGCATACGAGTTTCTTAACTTCTGGGCTAAACATCTGAAGCTGGATTTTTTTTTTTAAAGATTTATTTTTATTATTTTTTCATTGGAAAGGCGGATATACAGAGAGGAGAGACAGAGAGGAAGATCTTCCGTCCGATGATTCACTCCCCAAGTGAGCGCAACGGGCCGATACTATGCCGATCCGAAGCCAGGAGCCTCTTCCGGGTCTCCCACGCGGGTGCAGGGTCCCAAAGCTTTGGGCCGTCCTCGTCTGCTTTCCCAGGCCACAGGCAGGGAGCTGGAAGGGAAGCAGGGCTGCCGGGATTAGAACCGGTGCCCATATGGGATCCCGGGCGTGCTAGGCGAGGACCTTTTAACCACTTGCGCCACCGTGCCGGGCCCTGAAGCTGGATTTTTAACCACCAGTCATGTCATATTGGCTAGATAAAGTTCTTGTTATATGTCTATTTATTTTTATGTCATTTAAAAGTGTGAATGAGCTCTCTCTACCCACTGGTTCACTCTGAATGCCTACAGCAACAAGGGCTGGGTGAGGCTGGGTGAGCTGCAGACCCAGGCCAGGTCTCCCACTGGGACCAGAGGACCCAAGACCATGAGCCATCATCAGCTGCACCTGAGGATGCACATCAGTGGGATCAGGAGAACAGCCGGGCCCACCCTAGACACACTGATACAGGCTGTGGATGTCCCCAGTAGCCTCTGACCACTGTGGCAAATACCTGGCCCTGGGTCCTTCATCTTTCTTTGTGGGAAGTAGACAATTGCCAGTGCTTGATGTTGTATTGTAATACATTTTTGAAGTGCAGAGAGACACCTATAGAGGAAAGTTCACCTTTGACGAACTGGGTTCTTTTGGACTGATCCGTCGTGGAGCAGCTCTCATACCTCCATCTCAAGGCTATCTTAGCTCTTCTCACATCCAGGTGATCCACCCAACATTTCTCAGAAACAGACCGGAGGAACTTGATTCTCACTGTGCTGCCAATGATGAGTTTATCTCACTGGTAACCGTCATTTGTTCTGCACATGTTTGCCAAGTAAACACCACCCTCTGTTTTGAGCTCTGTGCTGGGCAGTGGAGATAGTGGCCGAGAGAGTATCAGCTCTGCCCAGGGAGCATGGGCTGTGCTGTGGGACCCAGATGAATAACAGACCTCCCTGGAACATTTGCAATATTTCCAATTCAGTCTTTTTCATCTTAAAAGGCTGTGATGCCAAGGACATTTCAACAGCTTGTTAGAACAGGAAAGGACATCTAACGGCCTCTTTAAGGATATATAGATCTCACTTTGTGAAGGTGAAACTTTGGAAGGGAGAAGCAAGCTGAATCCTAGGTTGGGCAGTAGACCCAGTGAGAAATACTGACAGCCTCACAGCCTAATGGTGCTGCTCCACTCTGACGACACGGGATTCAGAGATGTATCTCATATACCCTGCTGTGGCAGGAGGAGTGGTGTGGGTCGGGAGGTGAATTTTCACCTGTCCACAGGTGGAGTGGTACCTATGGGAAATCTAAAACAAAACAGTTAGCCGGGAGTTAGTAACTTTGTTTCTATAAAGCAGGGCAGTTAAGTGGAAGGCGGTGACTTTGTTTCTAACTCCAAGGGCTGTTGGGAAACCCTTGGAACTGATGAAGTGCAGGGCCCTTTGCTCTGACTCATGTGGTTCCATGGCATTGCCTGCCTGGGATCTTTCCCTGGTTCCAGTCTCATGTATTTATCTGCTGCTTTCTTCCTGGAGAAAGCAAGCTAGTTAAATGGTACATTGACTTTTAGAAAATTTAAAACTGTTTTCAGACTCAGTGTTTTGGATAATTAAGGATAACCTTTTTGGAGAAATTATTTAATCTTTGTGTTTTATAGGTTAGGTTATCAAGACTTACTTTGTGTAGTTCCCCAAATATATTCTTTTTTAGTCTTTTATTTTATTTTTTTTTAAGTATGTGTTAGGGCTGATTTGCAATGTAG